TGTTCATCAACAAAATATATAACTGCTATTATTCATATCGTGGAATACTGTTTAGAAGTAAAAATGAACAAACTTGATGTATGCAACAATATGATTGAATTTCAAATATAATGTGGAGCATACAAAGTCAGATATCAGGGGCCTCCCTGGTGGCCTAGGGGTTAAGTTTCAGCACTATCAACCACTGCCACCTAAGTTTGATCTGGTCAGGGAGCTGACCCACATGACGCAACAGACCTCTTCTGACTTGCCTGCTGTTCCCCTCAACAGTGTATTTCAGTAGATCCACCTGTTCTGCTACCCACTCTGTCTCTGGTGAATCCTCTCACCCTCGTACCTCTGGCCTACACCCCAGTTCTTCTGCACAAAAATAAATACATAAATAAATATTTTTTTAAAAATCAGATACAAAAGAATCATATTGTATAATTCCATGTGTGCAAAGTTTGAAGAACAATAAAAATAATCCACAGTGGTAAAAATCACAATATCATTGCCTCTGGATGATGGAGGTGTTGACTGGAAGAGAAATGAAATTTCCTGGGATGATGGATATGATCTATATCTTAATCTGATTAGTGGTTAAATCAGTATATACATTTGCTAAAATTCACCCAACTGTGCATTAAAGATGAGTTTTTTTTTCTATATGTAAAATACATTCAATATAGTATTGCTAACACTTTTTTAAAGTCTTTGGTGATAATCATTAATTTTTTTTTAATTGTGCTTTTTTTAAAAAAAGATTTATTTTATTTATTTATGCATATCAGAGCTGGGGTGTAGGACAGAGATGTATGGGGTGTGGGGTGAGGGGGGGAATGAGAGGATTCACCAGAGACAGAGTGAGGGGCAAACAGGCAGATCTACTGGATACACTGCTGAGGGGAGCAGCGGGCAGGACAGGAGAGGTCTGCTGCGCCATGTGGGTTGCTCCCTGGCAGGCCGGGGATAGAACTCATGCTGCAGAGGCTGTGGATTGCCCCATAATACAGTGTTTAACCCCTTGTGCCACCAGGGAGGCCCCTGTGCTTTTTTTTTTTTTTAGCTGAGGTAACATTAATTTACTAAATTGTAAATGATTTAGGGATATAGGTTTATATCTCTTCAACAATCATTGTCTTAAGGATTTTATATGCATGAAGTGATTGAATTTCTGAGCTGGCCAGGCTAAAGGTCAGAAATTCAACAATGGTGAATTTACCAAAGGATCTACTATTTTGCAGAGGTCAGTTGATATCTGGTCAGTAGCTATATTTTGGTACAATAATCCAGCAGGGATTTTGTTAAATGTCTCACTGAAATAAAGTAAAAGTTGTCTCTGGCATTAGTTATGCTACTGAAAATAGACATTTACTGAATATGCAATGATTTGTCCTTAGTAAACCCTTGCTGGCTCCTGATAAATTATTTCAAAAAATTGCTACACAATTTGTTTCATTATCTATTAAAGACTTTTTCATATGTATTAATTTGTTTGTTTTTGGTATCCTCACTATTCCCTTTAAAAAATTAAGATACCATTTGCATGAATTAAACCTGGCATCTCTCACTAAGAAACATGTTTGAGTTACAAAATGTATTTTTTATGGAGTTAGAAATGTCTTAGAGAAGTTCCATAAGAATCCAAAGATCTTTGTTTTGAGGGAAGCAATCTAGAACCAGGATCACGTAATTTTACTTCCAAGTGAGACAGACCTGGTTTGACTCCAAACTCATAGTTGTGTTAAACTCTCTAAACCCATTTTTTCTAAATTGTAAAAGAGAATTGCTATTGTTATTACATGGAAATATTTTTGTAAAGCACTTTACACAGTACCTGGCATCCTGATCATGATTGTCTGTGAAATAGTCCCTTGTGATTTGGTTTCCCAGGACAATCAATATCCTGTGAACCATTGTAGAATGCTTTGTAGGCCAAAAGCCTGATTTCTTTCTGCCAACTTTGTGATTGAATCAGAAGGAGTTATTCACACACCAAATTCACAAGAAACTGCCTGCTTATTTATTCATTCATAATCAAAAAAATAGTCAGGTCAGTATATTCTTTTCTTTTTTTAAATAAATTTTTTATTTTTTACATCATTGTTCATTTTTAAACAATATTTGCTTCCCCCCACCCCCTCAGGTGTAGTCCCCATAGTTTCCTTCCCCAAGGCACCCGTGCACCATCACCTCAGTCCCCTGTGCTCCTCCCTCCCTCCTCTCATCCCTCTCCCTCCTCCTCCCCTGCAGGATGTCTCTGATTTATAATTGTCCATTTTTGCTTTGTTGTGTTTTGTACTGTTATTATTTTTTGACCATATCAGTATATTCTTTCCTTTGATACATAATAGGAACACCAAATTATCTACAAGGATATTTTAATGAGTAAGGGATCTTTGTTCCTTCCACTGAATACACCCATTTCCCCTAGTCACCTAAAGGTTGTAGCTTTAGATGTAGCAATAGAGCTGCACTCCCCAGAAACCATTCCTCAGGCACCAATTTAGACCTTAGTGCTTAGTCTAAATGACCTTCGAGATAGTTGACTTTACTTATTACATTTTCATTTTTACGATTTCATTTTTTTAAAGATTTATTTATTTATGCATACAAACTGGGGCATAGGCCAGAGGTGTGGGGGGTGAGAGGATTCACCAGAGACACAATGGAGAACAAAAAAGGTGAATCTGCTGAAATACACTGCTGAGGGGAGCAGTGGGCAAGACAGGAGAGAGAGGTCTGCTGCGCCATGTGGGTTAGCTCCCTGGCCTGGGATTGAACTCATGCTGCAGTAGCTGGTGGTAGCTTAATAGTGCTGAGACTCCAACCCCTGTGCCACTAGGGAGGCGCTGTGTGTTGGTATTAATGTTAAAAAAAAAAAGTTCCAATTATTTTATACATATAGTGCTAGCAAATAGGTGATAATGGTAATACTTTTTTGATTAACTATAGTTTGTTAGATGTGGAACACAAACACATTGTATTTAATTCTTATAATAATGATATTTTTAGAAGTGTAGTTTTATTCTCACTATTCAGATGAAAACACTGAAGATCTGAGAAGAAAGTGGTCCTGGGCTAGTGAGTAGTTGGCAGAGGCACCCTCTGAACATAAATACTTATGATTGTAAAACCTATGTTCTTCCTTCCACACTGTATCAATGAAAAGGTCTTGTCACATTTTTAAGATTCAGTGGTTCTTCTATATCTAAGTCTGTCTTAAATCACAGAATTGTGGAAATGAGTGACATTTCTATTTCTGGTATTGACTACAAATCTGCAGTGTGAAGCAAAAAGTTATATTCTGTTAGTCATTTGTTTAAGGTGGTAACTGATTTTTGAGTTTCTCTAAGCCCCATTTATTAGCATCTCCATGTCAGCCTGAGCAGAGCTGAGTCAAGAACTAGCAAGAACTTGTGATTTTTACAAATCCTGAGAGAAAGAAACAAGGGAGTTTCACTGCTTCAGCCTAAAATGTGGTGTGCTTATTTAGTTTTTTGTGTAGAAGAACTGGGGTGTAGGCCATAGGTGTGGGGGTTGAGAGGATTCATCAGAGACAGAGTGGGGAGTAGAAAAGGCAGATTTGCTGAAATACACTGCTGAGGAGAGCAGGAGGCAAGAAAGGAGAGGTCTAGTGCGCTACATGTGGGTTAGCTCCCTGGCCAGGATTGAACTCAGCCTGTGTGAAGCTCAGACTCTGGTAGTTTTGGCGCCACCTGACTCCAGGTCCAGTGAGGGCAGAAGTGATATAGTCCTAGGGGCTAACAGAGGTCCTGAGTCGAGTAAGGAGCTCAAATAAAGTTTGTTGAATGAATGGGAGAATAAATAAAAAGTGCTTATACATAGATGACTGGATCAAGATGTGGTACATATATACCATGGAATATTATTCAGCATTCAAAAAAGATAAACACATGCAATTTGCAGCAACATGGATGGCGCTGGAAGGAATCATGCTCAGCGAAATAAGCCAAAAAGAAAAAGAAAAATACCGGATGGTCTCACTCATAGCAGGAATCTAGAAAACTTAAATAAGGGACCAGGAAAATGAATAACTATAAGAGAGTGAAAATCAAAATCAACAAAAAACTATGAACCAGAGACACTTTTTGGGGGGTGGGGTGGGGGGTGGGAGGGGAGGGATTGGGGTCAGAATGGGGGGGTTGCAATTGTATGGGGAATATAAAAATAAAATTTATTATTAAAAAAAAGGTACTTATACAGTGACAACACAGACAATGATCATTGGCAAAGCAGAATCAAGGGATTCCCTATTTTAAAATGTATTTTTTGAAGTATCAGCAAAATGAACTCATTACCACAGTGGCATAGAGTGGTCTCTTGACTACTCAGCAGGCCATCCCTCGCTTTGGTAACTACTTGAAACTATTGTTCAGTCCTTATCCCTTATCTCAGAGCTGCTAGACTAGCCTTCTTTTCCCACAACCACCATCTGTCCACAGGATGGGATATTTTATCTTCTGAGGCCTTGGAAAGATAAGTGAGTTCTAAAATATTTGCGACATTTTCACTAACTCAATTTATATAATGTACCCCCAATACAGTTAATCACTACTTGGCTTAATAAACATTTCTTGAGTTCCTACTGTGTTCTAGGCACTTTGCCAGGCCTTAGGAATTAAAAAAAAAATTCTAAAAATATGATTTAGTATTAGGAAAAATTCTAACAGACTAACAAAAAAATAAAGGTTTAAACAGACAGACACTTGGAGCCTCCCTGGTGGTACAAGAGGTTAAGAGGTAACCTATGAAGCTATCCGCAGCCAGTGCAGCACAAGTTTGATCCCCGGCCAGGGAGCTACCCACATGGTGCAGCAGACCTCTCCTGGCTCACCCGCTGCTCCCCTCAGCAGTGTATTTCAGTCAGTCTGCCTGTTCTGTTCCCCACTCTGTCTCTGGTGAGTCCTCTCACCCCCCACACCTCTGGCCTGTACCCCAGTTCTTGTATGCATAAATAAATATTTAAAATAAAATGGCAATGGAATAACCTTATTTCAGTTATCTATTGTATAGAAACTACTCTGTGACTTGTTTAAAGACATGCTCATGTTGAAATACATCCAAGAAGGCATGAGTGACATCACTGAGCCTAGAAGAGAATGGATCAGGTATCCGTCGGTTCGGGATTGCAGGCCCACGGTTTTAACTGCAGCTTTCACAAACGTGTCTGCAGACGGCTTATCCAAAGTCGGCTTTCGGATTTTAGCCAGTTTCGTAGCTACGCAGAATGGCAGGACACTCTGCACAAAGATGCCCTTGCTCTTATACTCCTCGTGGAGGCGCTGCGAGAAGAAATCTACAAAAGCCTTAGTTGCAGAGTAGATGGTGAGCTGCGGAACTGGGTACATGCCGCTCACAGAGGAGATGTTCAGAATCGCCCCTTTAGATCTTCCAGCCATGCCGGGCAGCACCAATCGTGTCATCCTGCAAACAGAAAGAACATTAATGTTTATCAGTTTCTTGATGGTATTGTTCAGGTCTGGAATTTCCAAAAAGTATTCAGGATACTCATATGACATGCCCACATTGTTCACTAAAACACCAATTTGAAGGCCTGCCAAGCTTGTTTTAATTTTGTCATAAATATCTTCTGAGGTAAAGTCAACAGCAATGGTCTTTGTGTCCACCTTAAATTTTTCTCTTATTTTACTGGAAACCTGGTTCAGTTTATCTTGTGATCTGCTGATAAGGACAATCTTCATGCCACACTTTGCTAACTGTTCTGCATATGATTTGCCAATTCCATCAGTGCTACCTGTGACAACTGCCCATTCGCCCAGCTTGGGTCCGACCCCAGGCTCGTGATCCAAAATCCAGAGCCGAAGGGCCATCAAGAGAGAGCACGAGATGCGCAGGGCCAGGTAAGCCTCGGTGCCTGCTCCCACCCAGTACAGAAAGCCGGCGGCAGGGAGAACGTGCTCCATGGCTTTCCACCAGGCCTCACTAGCAACGTGAATTGGAGGGAAAAAAAAAAAATGAATAAATCCAGGAAGAGGCGCTGGCCATGACGGTGAGGGCGACACTAATATGCGCTGCTCCTACACCTCTTTTTGACTTTTGTTTTGAATGATAGCTATTTTTTAAGAAAAAATTCCAGCAATTGCTATATATTTTCTTTTTTTTTTTTAAGGGCCTCCCTGGTGGTGCAGCGGTTGAGCGCTGGGCTGCGAAGCTGCCTGCAGCCTCCGCAGCGTCAGTTCGATCCCCGGCCGGCCGCCAGGTGAGGGTCCCACATGGCGCACAGACCTCTCCTGCCGCCCGCTGCTCCCCTCAGCAGTGTACTTCGGTCCCTCTGCCTGCTCTGCTCTCCGCTCTGGCTCTGGTGAATTCTCTCACTCTCCCGCGCTTCTGACTGTACCCAGTGCGTGTATAAATAAAAAAATTAAAAAAAAAAGATTTATTTATTTATGCATACAAGAGCTGGGGTACAGGCCAGAGATGTGGGGGGGTGAGAGAATTCACCAGAGACAGAGTAGGGAACAGAACAGGCAGACTGATGGAAACACACTGCTGAGGGGAGCAATGGGCGAGTCAGGAGAGGTCTGCTGCACCATGTGGATCACCTCCTTGGCTGGGGATTGAACTTGTGCTGCAGTGCCTGTGAATAGCTTCATAAGTTGCATCTTAACCTCTTGCACTACCACAGAGGCCCCTGTACTGAATTTTTAAGAGTAGAAATTAAACAGGCAAGGGGAAGTGGTGGGGATGGTGGTAAGGGAGTTTCTAGAAAGGGGAAGTATTATGTTTCCATAGATTTGAAAGATCAAAGAATTACTAGCACTTCAGCATGGTTGCAGCACATATTAGAGGTCCAAGAATATTGAAAGATGAACTTGGAGCGATAAGTCATGTCGTATCTGGTCTATTCTATATAATCATTTAAATGACAAAACAATCTTTTAAAAGCATTTCTCACTTAAAGGAGTTTATGACACCCCTAAACAGTAATATTTAAGGAAACCAGTTATATTTGTAGAGCATCTCACTTTTCACATGTATAATCGTAAATAGGGACCTGCAAAGATATGACCCTGTGTCTGCAAACCTTCCAGTATGACCATTTTTCTTAGATTCTAGCAACAGAAAGAGTTCAACTGAAATTAAACTTACCTTTTTGCTTGTTTTTAAAATTTGCAAAGATTTCCCCTGCGGCTCCCCGCCTCCCCTCCCCGCCCCCGGACCCAAAGGCCCTTAAAAAAGTCTCTGTGTTCAATGCATCCATTCCAAAATGTTTTGGCAATGTGACTTTCCTTTTCCTCCCATTAAAAGATAGGATTTATTTTCCTAGTTCTTGAATCTGTGCTAACTTGCATTGAACAAGGAATGCGGTAGAAATGACTCTGAAGGCCCTTCCTGGTATCGCAAGGGGTTAATCAACGCACTATGAAGCAATCCTCAGCCTCTGCAGCAGGAGTTCGAGCCCCAGCCACCAGGGAGCAACCCACATGGCTCAGCAGACCTCTCCTGTCTCGCCCGCTGCTCTGCTCAGCAGTGTATTTCAGTCAGTCTGCCTGTTGTATTCCCCGCTCTGTCTCTGGTGAATCCTCTTAACCTCCCGCACCTCTGGCCTGTTACCCTGGTTCTTGTATAAATAAATAAATCCTAAAAAAAAAAAAAAGTTAAAAAAAAAAGAAGTGACTCTGTGTGTGATCTTCTAGAATAGAACTGAGACTGCTGTGACCACCAGTCTAGCCTATGGGGGCTAAGAGGTCACATGGAAGGGAAGCAAGTCTTTCCAGCCAACCGCTTGCATCGACTGCCAGCCATGAGGTCATCTTGGACCTTCTATCCCAAGTGGAACTCTTCAGCTGAATGTGACTCATGAGTGAGTCTAAGCCAGACAAGCAAAGAACTTACTAGCAATCCACAGAGCATAAGAAATAATACATCATTGTTGTAAGCCACTAAGTCACAGAGTAGTTTCTATACAATAGATAACTGAAATAAGGTTATTCCATTGCTATTTTCTTTTAAATATTTATTTATGCATACAAGAGCTGGGGTACAGGCCAGAGGTGTGGGGGGTGAGAGGATTCACCAGAGACAGAGAGGGAAGCAGAACAGGCAAAATGACTGAAAAACACTGCTGAGGGGAGCAGCGGGCGAGTCAGGAGAGGTCTGCTGCTCCATGCGGGTTGCTCCCTGGCCGCCAGATATCGAACTTGTGCCACAGAGGCTGCGGATTGCTTCATAGTGTGGTGCTTAACCCCTTGAGCCACCAGGGAGGCCCTCCATTGCTTTTTTAGATTAAAATATACGGCTACTATAGCTTATGACTCAAGAGTAATAAAGGCATAGCTATTACATTAATTTTAGGCTTAGCATAATAGAATTTGCCACATAAGCTGGCAATAGGGAGTCAGGACTTTCATTGCTGTCAATGGAAAATAGCAGCTGAAGGTGTTAGACATCTATGAGAAAATTGTAAGGTCTCTACAACTAGAGGGAATACTTACAAACAAAAATATAGACTCACTTGGGAAATTCAGTATTTAAAATATCTAGGCAGGTATCTCTCCTGCCTGCCTTTCTTTTTCTCCTTTTCCTAAAAAGTATGGCTTTTTAAAATGGAAAAAAATCCCTAACATATAGATAGATGGATAGATAGATAAGATAGATGACCAGTAAAGACCTGATAACAATATACCAATGGTTTACATTACAGCACGCTAGAGTTTTGAGTAGAGATTTCTTTTACCAGGTATGGGTAAGAACGACACAAATGATGCCCCTCATTGCTTGAAGATAAAATCCTTGAGTTCTGTGGTGTGGTAGTGAGCTTTTAAGATGGCCCCTATAATTCTCACTTCCTGCTATTCACTCTCTTGGGAAATATTCTCCCACACTAAACTATGATTGACCTGTGTATCCAGTAAGATGTGGTGAAAGTGATGGTGTGTGACTTCTGAGGCTGTTGCAAAAGACATTTCAGTTTTCACCTTGGTCTCTCTCTTGGATCACTTGCTCATGGGAGAAGCTAACTGCTATTTCTTTTCTCTCTCTCTCTCTCTCTCTCTCTCTCTCTCTCTGTGTGTGTGTGTGTGTGTGTGTGTGTGTGTAGAAGAACTGGGATGTGGGCCAGAGATGTGGGGAGTGAGAGAATTCACTAGAGACAGAATGGGGGAGCAGTACAGGTAGATGTACTGAAATACACTGCTGAGCAGAGCAGCAGGTGAGACAGGAAAGGTCTGCTGCGCCATATGTGAGTTAGTTCCCTGGCTGGGGATTGACTCAGGCTGTAGTAGTGAGAATGGTGAGACTTAACCCCCAGGCCACCATGGTGGCCCCCAGTTGCTATTTTTTGATGACACTCACACAGTCCCATGGAGAGGCCACATAATGAGAAGCCGAGGGCTCCAGCCAACCACCCAGATCAACTTACCAGCTATGGGAGTACGCCATCTTGGAAGAAGCCCCTTATCTCAGTCAACCCTTTAAATGACTTTAGCCCTGGCTAAGACTTGTTTTTAGATCATGTTATTAAGGTTACAGTTTGTTTAGCATAAAATCCACCAATTTTAAGTGCCATTCAATTATTTCTAGTAAATTTACTGAATTATGCAACCATTACCACAATCTAATTTTAGCATGTTTCTATTATGCCAATAGGAACCCCATGCTCATTAGCAGTTACTTCCCATTCTACCATGAACCAAGGCAACCACTAATCTATTCTCTGTGCTTATAAATTTGCTTTTTTCAGAAAACTTAATCTAAGTGAAATCATAATAATATGTGATGTCTTGTGTCTGGGTTCTTTCATTCTCTATAGAGCTGACATTTTCATTGCAATCAGAAACTCCAGCTATAGCACTATTGAATTCTTAATACAAAGTAACTGTGAGATAATGAATGTTTATTGTTGGTTTTAGTCACTAAGTTTTGGGGTAATTTGTTACTGGTAATGGATAACTAGTGTACATGGGTATGTAATTATGGCTAAGAAATTAAGTCCCTCCTACATACAATGTCCTATTAAACCCAAATCCCATGCAGCATTTGTTACTGTTAAACTTTGTGACTATGAAATTATAACTTACATTGAAATTATTGGCATGTTTTGTTAATGATACAAAAACTGGTAATTTTTCTACTTCTTTTTTTTTTAAAGATTTATTTATGCATACAAGAACTGGGGTACAGGCTAGAGGTGTGGGGGGTGAGAGGATTCACCAGAGACAGAGTAGGGATCAGAACAGGCAGATTGACTGAAATACACTACTGAGGGGAGCAGTGGGCGAGTCAGGAGAGGTCTGTGTGCCATGTGGGTTTCTCTCTGGTCGGGGATTGAACTTGTACTGCAGTGGCTGCAGATAGCTTCATAGGTTGTGTTTTAACCTCTTGTGCCACCAGGGAGGCCCAACTTTTCTACTTTTAAAAAAGAATGTCATTACCAAATTTAAAAAACAGACAACAAATACAACACCTTAGGTCCACACAAAAGGATGGATGAACAAGGAGAAAATGAAATTGTGGACATCAAAATGTGTTCCAGCTATCCTAGTGGGAGGGTTACGAAGGACACTATTCATGTGGAATGAGTTAGGGTTGATTGGCTTGGACAACAAAAGGCTGGGTTGTAATTCCAGGAGACTTAACTAGCAAGTCACAACCTTGACATATCACTATCAAAAATAACTTAAAGGATTCACGAGGGGAGAAAGGAACAGGTGAGTGCAGGCTTCAATTTCACATTCACACCAAAAGGAAGAAGGATGTTTACAATTTCACAGCTGTGTGAATGGGTCAAAACTTCATGGAATTTTGTAAAACAAGAGCCATCTGAAGAAATTTTTTTAAGATTTATTTTATTTATTTATGCATACAAGAGCTGGGGTGTAGGCCAGAGGTGCAGGGAGTGAGAGGACTCACTAGAGATAGAGTGGGAGCAGAATAGGCGGATCCACTGAAATACACTGCTGAGGGGAGCAGCAGGTGAGACAGGAGAGGTCTGCTGCGTCATG